GTGCACATGGAAGTGGTAAATTATATCTTACACGTTTATTCTTTATATTACGTCACTTTTACTATAATTGTCGACTTATATTTACGTCTTTTCTGGAATTTATCTTATTGTATTTATATTCCATTGACTATTATTCTGGCGTATATTTCGATAAACCTATTATTTCTGGATCAATAAGAATATAAATATAATATATATAAATAATATTACCTCTAAACTTGTTGTCCCTATACAGGATTAGAAAAAATAGAAAGAGCTCTTGCCTTACCCTGCTTATAGGCCTGCCTTCCCTTTGCCTAACCGTACTCGTTCAATCCGTTCAGTCATTGGCAAAATTTGAGAATGAGAGACTAAAAATAACTCATATTTTAGTCCTCTTGGGAAAAGATCATATATCAACACGAATTAATTAAATCCATTAAATTTCGTAGTCCGATTGACCAAATAACCTCTTTCAATTAATTAATTTTTATGTAAGGCATTGGTTGAGATAAAAAAGTCAGTCACGAGCGGGAATAGAACCCACGACCTTCGGCTAAACACGCCTGCTTGAACGTACCTGGCCATTTCATTTGCCGCCGAGAATTAAATAGATTACACGACATTTGAAAAATGGCAAAAAGGAGAGAAAATTCAAAAGGTGGGTTGACATGGAAAGTTAGTGTCCGTGTGGGTCGAAGTCACGATATCTCAAGTGGTAGAGCAGTGGCGTATTTAGACGAAGGTCGTGGGTTCGAATCCCGCTCGTGACTGACTTTTTTATCTCAACCAATACCTTACAAAAAAAATTATTCCTCATTTCTTAAATAAAGCACAAGAAAATTATAAATGTAAACAATTTAACTTTTCGTCTATAACACAGAGAAATAAATGTAGCAATTAATAATATAACTGCTAAATCAATTGGTACAGACATTGTGTCAATTATTTTATTGAAAATTATAAAACCATTTCTAATTGAAATTCTCTGCAATATTTATACTCATTCTATAAATTATAGGAAATATCCGGAAGAATTAGAAAGATCCTATGTTAATCTTCTGATTTAAAATAACCTTTCAGTAGAATGATTATTTTACAGACCTATTCATATTTTATCTTCTTTAAGTAAAGTTCTAGATAAAATAATGTTTAACCAAATGGAAGAAAAACATATACTTACGCCGTATTAATGTGAATACAGAAGAGGATATTGTACTAAAAATGTGTTAGTCATGAAGACAGACAATATTTGGAATAATATAAACAAATGTAATGTTACAACAATGAGTTTGATAGATTTTAGTCATCCTTATAATAGTGTAAGTCATAAAACACATTTTTTTAAATATATTAATTTTTCAGACAAAGTAGTACATTGGTTCGATTCTCATCTAAGTAATAGATATCAACAAATAAACACTAATAATGATAAATTTTCAAACTGACAAATTTTAAATCATGGACTCCCGCAAGGTTCCACACTATCAGCACTCTTATTTTTTTATGCAATAACATAACAAACGTATTCTCATACTATAATTTTAGTTGATATGCAGATAATTAAATGTATACAAAACAGCTGAAATAACATAAACGATGAAATTACAAAAGTGAATGAAGAAATTAATAAATTTGCGAATTCGATTAACCAACACAAAATATCATTAAATGCTATTAAATGTAAAGTAAATAGTTTTGGCCATAATAAAACATTACTGAAAAAATATCATATAATAGTTTAAATAACGTATAAAATTAACAATGATAACGTAAAATATGAAAAAAAAAAGAAAAATGTCTTGGATTAAAGCGTCAGAACAATCCTTGAAACCTCAACTTTTTCATATAAAAAATATGACGCTACAATATTTAAACTTAAAACGTTATTAGTATTTAAGGATTCGAACCCTCGATTTCCATTCGGACCAGACGAGGTCACGATAGCTCAAGTGGTAGAGCAGCGGCGTATCTAGCCGAAGATCGTGGGTTCGTATCCCGCTTGTGCCATTAACTTTTTTTCATCTCAACTAAAATCCTTAATTAATTGTAATGTATTAATTGGTCAAGCGGACCACGAAATTAGTGAAGTTATTAGTATTTTTTATTAGTATTTATTATTTTTACATTGCATTAATTTGCACCGTTTTTCGTATGATGTAAATGTTTTCCTTTGTTTTATTCATGTTTTGTCAAGTTCAACAATTTACACACACACACACACACACACACACAATATATATATATATNAATGACTAATGAGGGGAACTAGCGAGTGAGCGATTTATATATATATCCATCGATTTATTCATCTCCCTATCTATAAGTCTGTAAATTTTAAAAAGCGATTCCTTTTTGTACACACAACATTTAATTCTGAACTACATTATCTAACATATTGAAATGTTTTTATTATTATGTACTTCCGAGCACATACGCTATTCATATTTTGTGGGTTCGTTTATGTACGTACCATTTCCCCCTTGTATACCTAATTCTTCATTTCATCGGTTGTGTTTAACCAGAAAATTTGCCGGAGGTGATTATTTAACTTAACGCTCGTGCGATGTGGAGTTAAATTTTACATTAAAGGCTATTTGTTTTAAAGAGGATTTACACCCACATTAATTACGGCAATTAAAAAACTGTTTACGTATTGAACGGTCCGTAAATATTGGGAGAGCCGTGACACCTTTTAGAATGTTATTCGAATGATGTCCGTCGGTTCAAATCGTCCGACTTCTAATTACCTAGAATGGTTTATTTTATTTTCCCGGCCTAATATCCAAGTTTAGGCATGAGGGGGGAAAGGGAATCGTTACACAAGAACCCCCGATCGGAAGAGCCGAATTGTGATTAACAACCATATGTGTAATTATTGATTTTACACGGCAATTATAAAAAATAGGAGTCGAAAGGGGAAATAAGAGGACGACGTGAAAATTTAAAATGGCTTTTTGCACGCAAGTCGAATTGCAGTTAATGACACCCAATTTGGCCATCACGTGATCTCCCAGAGCGTTTCCATTCAAGTCTCAGCCTCGGAACAATGTCCAAAACTTTCTATCTAAATCTTTATTAAAGCCCTTAGCCGTTTTCAAGCTCCGTTTTTTGACAATCTTCCGGCGGAGGAAACGGATCCCGATGTATTACTTGACATTTTTCTCCATACGAGAGCGGATCGGAAAGTAAATCTTGTCGAGTGTTTAGTTTCAACAAGCCCCTTTGACGTCATGAAATAATCATCTAGCACAAACGTCCCAGCGAGTGTAAAACCCCTCAGAAAAATAATAATAAATGCCCCGATCGACCGTGAAAGATCAAATATAATGTGTATAATTTCGACGAAGCCTGGAAAATATGACAAATAATTGTCCCGATGAATTGGGCTTAATTCGGTGAGAATTTAATTTTGTCCTGCCTCCCAATGCTAACGCGATACACATCGGTGTATAAATATTTTATTTGTAAATTCAATCAATTTTGCTTTTCACAACGCAAATTTATACTGATCTTTTATTTTAATTATCGTACTAATGGGTTTAATAATCTAACCATCAATGCATCTATCCATCCATCCATCTATCTATTTATTTATCTATCTATCCATCTTTCCATCTATCCATCTATCCATCCATCTAACCATCAATGCATCTATCCATCCATCCATCTATCCATCTAGCCATCTAGCCATCTATCCATCTATCCATCTAGCCATCTAGCCATCTATCCATCTATCCATCTTTCCATCCATCTATCCATCCATCCATCTATCCATCCATCCATCTATCCATCCATCTAACCATCATCAATGCATCTATCCATCCATCCATCCATCCATCTATCCATATATCTATCTATCCATCCATCCATCTATCCATCTATCGTCCATCTAACCATCTATGCATCTATCTATTTATTTATCTAACTATCCATCTTTCCATCTATCCATATATCCATCTATCAATCCATCCATCTATCCATCTTTCCATCCATGTATCCATCCATCCATCTATCCATCCATCCATCTATCCATCTATCCATCCATCTAACCATCAATGCATCTATCCATCCATCCATCTATCCATCTATCGATCCATCCAACCATCTTTGCATCTATCCATCCATCCATCCATCTAACCATCTATGCATCTATCCATCCATCCATCCATCTATCCATATATCCATCTATCCATCCATCCATCTATCCATCTATCGATCCATCTAGCCATCAATGCATTTATCCATCCATCCATCTATCCATCTATCCATCCATCTAACCATCAATGCATCTATCCATCCATCCATCTATCTATCCATCTATCCATCCATCTAACCATCTATGCATCTATCCATCCATCCATCTATCTATTTATTTATCTAACTATCCATGTTTCCATCTATCCATATATCCATCTATCAATCCATCCATCTATCCATCTTTCCATCCATCTATCTATTTATTTATCCATCTATCCATCTTTCCATCTATCCATATATCCATCTATCGATCCATCTAGCCATCAATGCATCTATCCATCCATCCATCTATCTATTTATCTGTCTATCTATTTCACTATCTAATAATCCATATATCCATCTATCCATCTCTCTCCCTCTTTTCTCTCTCTCTCTTTCTCTCTCTCTCTCTCTCTCTCTCTCTCTCTCTCTCTCTCTGTCTCTCTCTCTCTCTTTCGGTCTCATTTTTTAGTAAAATATTACACTTTGATCTTTTTAAATAAGGCAATTCTTTACAAGCGTCTAACCTCGTTTATAGGTCTGAAGTCGACAGCGTCTATGTTGTTTTTATTCTTCCCACTTTCATAAGCGATGGTTTAATAATTATTATTTGGGATTAGCAGTTATAGAAATGTAAAAGTAGTGCTTTTGTAACTAATTATTCCAATCAGGTAAATATTAACATAATATATAAATGAAGTTGTATTGAATGTTTTATATTATTTTAACTATTATAGTTATGTAAGAAACAATATGAATAATGAATACAAAAAATACTTTTGTCATATGTTTTATTTGAGAAAGGGACCAAAAGTTGACATTTCTTATAGAGTATTTGTTTTTTGTATGCCTAATGTTTGGAGGAAAGGTTATATTTAATAACGCAAACTTTACCTATGTGGTGATGGTTGTCAACTCGCTTATAAATCAAATAAAACTTTGCACCGGCGTAGTAGTCGGACCTACCATCGCTATAACCGCCGCTCACTGTATCCTCGAGAAAGTCGAAGACGCCGTGGTGCCTGGCAACGTCACTCTGTACACGCAGAAGGATTTCAAGAGGTATTTGAAAATGACGGCGAGCCGGATCTTCGTTCATCCGAACTATACCATCGATGAAACGAGCGATATCGCCGTAGTCCACGTGAAGAAGACCTTCGACGCAACTATTCTACCGATGGCCGATTCGCCATTTGACGGCCCGGAATACTGCCTCCTCGCGGGTTACGGGATGCGGGGCCAACACACCAAAGGCATACCTCAGCTCTCTGTGATCAGCAATGTCGAGACTTTCGACAAGAAGGCGTGCAAACACGTCAGTAAGATCGGGAACGTGGTCTGCGTGCCGTCCTACGGTCCCGTCGGTCCGTGCACCGGCGATTCCGGAGGACCGCTCGTCTGTAACAACGTCCTCAGAGCGATTCTGTCACGCGGAGTCACTCTCGGAGAAGGCTGCGGTACCAAAGTATTCAGTATCATGATGTACGAAGACTTCTACGAGCACAAAGATTGGTTGATAGAAAAAAGCCGCTCACTCGGGATAAGTGGCACTCCGAGTGAAGAGACCGAAACGTCTCAGGACACTTCCTCACAAGGATATTCTTCTAACTCTCCACAAACATTTTACATACTTTTAACAACTCTACTCTTTGGTGCATTTTGAAATTAATAAAAAAAATTTTGTCAAACATATGAAATAATTATGTTTAATACCATTAATTTGACAAATAATTATGTTCCAGTAATCACGCAGGCTTGCTACATGGAACATTTCTTCATGATGATGAAGAATTCTTTTCGAAGAAGAAAAGAGACGTTAGAAAACCCACTGGGCCCATTTATAATATTGTCATTAGACCAACTGGAGATACAGACTTTAACTGTTTTTTATTACCGAGCAATCTAACCAAAACCGCAACATTTAATTTGAAAAATTTATATTATTTATATTTAAAGATATTTTTAAAACTAGATCTGTTATGATTTATACCCAAGTATAGTAGGATAACCCGATTTTTAATCAGTATACTAGGTGGTTCTATTTCCTTATTGCTTTATAACTTCCAGAATTCTCAGGCTAATGCAAGGACCGATTCGCATAAAAATGAACAATTAAAGCTCCGAGTGAAAGTTAAGACAGACAGGGTTCTAGGGATGCCTGTTGGCGCCATGATCCTAAAATTCGTATTTGGTCAAACAAATTCTAATTAAAATACCCGATACAGCAGTCTGGGAGAGAGGGATCCTACTTAATGCCGAATTTATCTAGTATACAGAAGATTCTAAGACGAAGTATTGGTCAGAAAATTGGATCCAGGAAGCTTGGGCCATGACTTTCAGGCAATTATTTGATCGGTAGTAAATCCAGAGCGGTTTTGGATTGGATCAAGTCCCTGTCAAACTTAAATTCACTAATTTCGTGGTCAGCTTGACCAATTAAAATATTACAATTAATTTAGGTTTTTTTAGTTGAGATAAAAAAGTCAATGGCACGAGCGGGATTCGAGCCCACGATCTTCGGCTAGATACGCCGCTGCTCTACCACTTGAGCTATCGTGACCTCGACCCACTCGGACACTAACTTCCCATCTCAACCGCACCTTTTGAATTTTCCCTCCTTTCTGCCATTTTTCAAATGTCGTATAATCGGGTTAGATTCTCGACGACAATTGAAATGGCCCCCTGTCGAACATTGAGGATAACAGCAAAATTAACCTAGTTTGGATACCGAGGCACATAGGACATAGGGGCCGAAAAATTGATCAAGTAAAGATTGGTGAGGACAAATATTGGCCATTAATGCCTTGGCGGCATACCGAATTGACAAAAGTAGATCCATAAGGCAGTTGAATTAGGAAAAGTACTCGATTCAATGGGAATTTTCGGACAGAGGGAAGAGTTCATCAAAGGACAACCGCAGAAACTCAAGTCAGAATTCTAAACTTAAGATGTTAGGTCTAGAAAGATCGCTCAAATGTTGACTGGAGACTGCATAGGCATTGTATAAATTCTTCCAGAAAGAAAAAGAAGAAACAGTCTTGTTATTGTTAAGACCTAGCGGGCAATATCTGCTTCTGAGAGAAGAAAATTCCAGGTTTGAAGGATACCATTGGAATTCTTGTGTATCTGATAAATAGCCTTAGCTTTGACGAAAAGCTGTAAAAGACAATTGAAATTGCACAGTAAACCAATATAGATAGCGGAGCGTAAGGTTGTAAAGAAACGGACTACTTTTAACCCTAGCATTCATCTTATTCAACCGACATTGAGCTGTAAATATCAATATTGATATTAAGTATGTATGTATAATTATGACTGTCACAAATCAAACTCTACTTAAAGTCCTTGGATATTCCCTCTGTCAAAGAACTCGTCCAATAGACATTCCAATTCTTTCACAGAAAACTGTTCGCTCCATTCCTTTGGATCACTTGATTTTGGAATAATGAAGGCTGATATACTTATCATTTCTTTTGTACAGGGTGTTTGGCTACTCGTGTTACAAACTTTGCCCGTAGATTCTACATTCCAAATGGAACTAAAACGTCCTAATTTACTATAGTCCGAATCTCAACAGTTTAGGAATCATTTCACTTTTTCTAAATTTTTATGATTTCACGACCTTGCTTCAAATAAACAATAACTCCAAAACTAAAAGATTTTGGACAAATCCGTTGACACCATTGAAAATTGCGTTAAATTTCCAGTAAGATGTGATCAATACTAAACTTGTAAACCTTCGGGAAACAAGTGGTTCAGTAGAGAGAACTCTGAAAAAAAAATTGTTTTTTCAAAGTTGAAAACCGTACCATGGTGATTCTAAACTACTATTTCCAAACCTTGAGACCAGCAAATTTCAAAAAACGTACTCCATTTAATATCCATTTTAGTGGTGTAATTGCTTTTTTAATTACTTTTTCAAAAATGAAGAAATTGATGGAGGAAAAAACCGTGGTGATGGATTGGTAAGGCGGTATATTTAAAAAAAAAAAAAAAAAAAAAACGCAAATGTCGACTTATTTACCAATACGACTGCAACTGATTAAAATATTATTGTATTATTATTTTTCGGAATAAAAAAGTTTTAAGATTCACAACTTTTGTAGTTATTCATGTGATATCTTGTTAAGACGATTTCGAATCAAAATTAAAAAATATTTAATAAATTCATTCAAAATTTTCTTAGGTTTTTTATTTTTTGTTATTATTAATCTTTCCACCTTACCGATATTTCAACTACGGTTTTTTATTTTCCTTCATCAATGTTTTCATCTTTGAAAAAGTAATTAAAAAAGTAATTGCACCACTAAAAAGGATATTGAACAGAGTACTTTTTCTGAAATTTGCTGGTCTCTAGGCTTGGAAATAGTAGTTTAGAATCAGCATACTACGTTTTTCGACTTTGAAAAAAAAAATATTTTTCAAAGTTCTCTCTACTAAAACACTAATTTCAGGAAGGTTTACAAGTTTAGTATTGATCACATCCATTGGAAATTTAACGTAGTTTTCAATGTATCAACGGATTAGTCCAAAACCTTTTAGTTTTCGCGTTATCAATGTTTATTTGAAGCAAGGTCGTGAAACCTTAAAAAATCAGAAAAAGTGAAATAATTCCTAAAATGTTGAGATTCGGATCATAGTTAATTATGACTTTTTGGTTCCTTTTTGAATGTGGAATCTACTGGCAAAGTTTGTAATACGAGTAGCCGAACACCGTGTATAAGCGTGAAAATATGTAGGACGTGTAACAATAAAATAATTCTTGACATTTTTTTATGTCTAACTTTTCAGGACATGAATTCACACTATTTTAACATTAATTTTTTCACATTATTCTGAAAGAAAAGTTTATGATGTTGAACGATATTTGAACGGAGAACCTAGTTTGGTGGATAAAAAGTAAAAAATAAATATAATATACAAGACCGTGTTATTTGGCCAAACAGCCTGAAAAGAAAATATTTTTTCTGAAAAGACTCCTACAACATCCATTCATTAATAATTACTCGTCTTGTGTCCTGGCTCTAAACGTTATTTTTCTCTCATGGAAGTTTTTAAGGATGAATTGGTTTTATGATTAGATAAGAAAAAAACGGACATTTGGAGCAAAGTTGTTTTTAAAGATGGTCTCGCTCAAGAGTGAAATATTCTCGGTTTTTCTGCCAGTTGATCTGCAGTTTGATCAACAGCGACCTATTTTTTCTATTATCCTTGGTTATCTTCGGGTTTTAGTACCCCTATAAAGTTTTCGCTATTTAGAAATTAGAACAAGATTTTAAAATATGAGGATGCTTACGGAAATAAAACAGTTATTTTTTAAAAAAAGGTTCAATTAATTTTCAGCTTTCACTTGACAACAATGATTAAAGTCGAGAAGTCCTTCACTTACAAGTGCATATCTAAGGGAAAGTCGGAGTTTGTATTTAACGAACTCCCGTTGAAAGAGGAGAGTGGAGGGTTAGATGAGGAACGGTTTTATCTGAGTTAAGTTTGAGAGGACGAGAGTTTCCCAGAGTTTGCATTTGCGTTGTAGGAGTCAGTTGAGTGCGAGTTAACGAATCACGCGATTCTGTAATTGTTTAATTTTGCTTGCCACTTAAAAGTTCATTAAATTACCGGCTGAGGTTTGCAGGTCAATCGAATTTCCCCACACGATTCGTGTAATTCCAGGAGAACAGACTCCTGGAAACTTAATGGAGCTGAATCATCTAATCTGTGTTCGTTTAGTTTAATACATCGTAGTTTGTCGATTAAACTCGACTCTCTAATAAATAATTTTACAAAATTTAACAATAAAAAATATAAAATTTTTAGTTTTCGTCGTATTTCATTAGCTACTCCTGTCAGTTTATTTGAATCCAGAATCATGGATAAACTGACTGCTAAATAAACAGAGCGTCTGTAACAACAGATCTGATTTTTGTCCAGTCTCTAAACTTTTGCCTTCAGTTGAAACAGTTTTTCGTGGGAAAAAGATTGCTTGGATAGAAGCATATCTTGAGATGTACAGCTGGTGAAAGAATTGCGAACCATATAATAAGTCTGTATTTTCATAGAATAAGGAAACTTTATTTTAAGTGCGACAATGAGCGAAATTTTCCGTTAATTTCCGTAAGTTTCAACCACCTGTTAACTGGATGGAAACGAGGTTTCAGAGGATGCGCCAAATTTCGGATGTTTCGCTAGATAGAAGTTTGCAGTACGGCCTCAGTTCATTAGCCTGACCTGAACGCAATCTGAAGAAAAAACTTAAATAGTAGGATAATTGCTCAGCGTAGAAAGAAGCAGCTACTTTCATTGCATGAAAACAGCCTTTCCACTATCTATGCAGGAATTACTAAATTTTTCATAAAACCAAAGTACATTTTATACCGACCCTTGACTGGATGGAAAGGAGAGTTCAGAGTGTACGCCAAATTCCGGACGTTTCATCACAAGAAAATGTGAAGTTACGTCGATGGTTCCAAACAAGCAGAGTTTATCAACCAGTTTGCCCAAACGCAATTGCAAGTATAAACCGAACGATTAAATAAATACACAATTAATTGTACCAAATTTTTTTTCGAAATGAAAAATTTGTGTCACAGACGGGATTCGAACCCACAACTTTCGGCTCAATACGCCGCTGCTCTACCACTTGAGCTACCGTGACTTCGACCGCCCATGCCACAAACTTCTCATTT